GGATCATGTAGAAGCTTAACAATACACTAACAGTACTATTTGCAAGGCTTTTCTTAGCTCTCTACTGGCCCTGGAATCTCTTAATGTCAGTTCTCACCCTGTTCTCTTACAAATTCAGAAACGACTAGCTCAGTTTTATGTCATCCATTTTTGTGGATACCTGGCCATGTTGGTATTCTATGGAATGAGTATGCTGACACTGCAGCTAAGTCTGTCTGTTCTGGTGCTGTCACAGCTATGCCTGTCCTATATATGGACTATTGTCCTGTGATCAAGGCCTGGCTTCATGGCAGTTGATTTGAGGTGAGCAACCTCATAACAAGCTCTTCCAGATCAAACCTACTGTTCTTGTTTAGCTGTCTAGTTCCGTAAGGATAAGCAGGAGGAAGTTGTCTTGGCTAGGCTATGCATTGTTCAGTTTTTTAACCCATCATTTTCTTTTATGTGCAACTGATCTGCCAATGTGTGGCCTTTATGACACTCGGGTCACAATTGCCTACATTTGACTTTTGTGCCATCATTATGAACATCAGCAGTGGTGGCACCAGTTTAGACATGTCTTCTCTAATGCTTTACCCCTGACATTGGATGATGTCATTGGCAATGGTGACACTGTCTAACTTGATTGTATTTTTAGCTTTTTGCAGGCTTTTGGCCATTTTACTTCTGTTTAGATTTTTACCTAACTTTTGGGCAGTTTGGTTTTTAACTTGTCTTCTTACTTTTATAGAGTTTTACTTTGTTTTATTTTTACACTGGTTATCTGGTGCAGATATTCATGTTGTTTTGCATTAATAAACACCAAACAACTATCTCTCAGTGAGATGTTTTCCTTATTCATTGAAAAAAGGTTGAGCAACTTTCCAGTTCTACAGAGTCAGTCAATAAACTAATGTCATGACTACAAAACTGTTAACTCTTGAAACCCAAAGCCATTGATGGTATACTACACAACACTTTGAATTCTTGAAGAGGAGTTTTCATTGAAAGAGAGCTTCTTCACATCTTAGAATTGAAGTTCTTACCAAACTCTGAAGTCAGGAAGTGTCTGTTGTTATACAAACCTTCATTTGAGAAAACTAAGGTGCTCAGCTTTACTTTATCACATTCACCTGCCAATTTAAAGACAGGTTATTTGCATTGCAGAGACCTGAATTATATTCCTAATTTCTCCTTTGTTTTCATTGTCAGTAGTGACAGTCAAAACTATCTCTGTTCTACCTGTAGTCTTTTTCCAGTAGCATCAATGAGTGAGTGTGATCAATTCTTTCAGCCTCAATGTGCATTCCATTTTAATCTTGCTCACTGGAATCTCATCAATCAGATAGACCTGACATGAAGAATAATTTGGTTGGAAATCCAAGCAAAGAGCTTACCACCTAGATCTCTATCATTTAACTGAAAATGACATTACTAGTATAGTGTAACACTTGAGGATTTTGCTTTAAATTATATGACATCAAGGTCTTGATTGTTTCTTACCATCCTGAGTGTATCTTGTTACAAAAAAAAACATCTCTGAAACTGCCAATCTGTCATTTTTTGGCAATTTTCATTATACAGAAAGGACAAGTTATGTGACAGATGGATTCCTGGAGGAGAGTGGTATTCCTACATACTTGTAGGTCATTGTCATCCATGTCTATTGGTCATATTGTCACAATATATTTTTTTCACCTGGTTCCAAGGAGGAAATCAATCAAGAAGACTTTGATCTTATTGAGTAGTTATCTCCCTTTGTCATCCTGAGAGACTTAAATGACAAATCCACTTTTGGAAGGTGAAGATATGATGTGAGGGATCAATCTTTGGTGTGTGCTGTCAGATCACAACCTTTCTCTCTTCAATACTGGGCCTGGCATGGCCTAGTGGTTAGTGCACTTGAATCAATATCTGCAAGTTGTGGGTTCAAACCCTATCACTGAACATGCTTGCCCTTTCAGTATTGGGGAGTGTTTTGAATGTGGTGGTCAATCCCACTGTTCATTGGTAAAAGAGTAGCCCAAGAGTTGGCTGTGAGTGGTGTTAATTAACTGCCTTCCCTCTAGTCTGTCACTTCAAATTTAGGGATGGCTATCACAAACAGCCCTCATGCAGCTTTTTCCAAAATTCAATAAACATTCTTCAATACTGGAGAATGTATCTATAATTCTATTTCCTGAATCATACATTTATAGCCATTGATTTGTCCATTTGTTCTCTTACTCTCCCCCCCCCTCTTTTTTCTTGGGAGGTGGAAAATGATCATGATCTTTGAGGCAGTGATAATTTTCCCATCATTCTGAGGGAGGCTGCACTTATTATCATCCTACTTGCATGCCATGGTGGAAGCTGGAGAAGGGCAATCGGCCCTCATTTACTAGTCTCTCAGTACTTGATCCTACTTCATTATCCTATCATCCATTAACAACTGCATGAAAGCAGTAACTCATCATATTGTCCAGGCAGCTGTCCTTACCATCCCTAAAACCTCAACACATTTTCAGTGGTATCTTCATCCATGATGAATGCCTAACTGTCAAAGGGCATAGAAATGAATCTGGGATATCTTCTTTAGATATCTCACTCTTGCCAACCACACACTTTCAAAATGTTCATGCCCATGTTCAAAAGGTCAGATGTCAAAGCCAGAAGGAACCTTGTATTAAATTTACTCCCAACATATCTTCCACCATGAGTTCCTAGGTGGATTGGGACAAGATTTAAGAGGTAAATAGGAAGTACACATGCCATCCAATTTCAGTCTTGCAACTCGGTTGTCAAGAAGTTGCTGATTTACAGGGAATTGCAAACACCCTTGAAGAGTACTTCTCTCACCATTTTAGCATCTCCATCTGTTTCCTTACTGAAAGAATCTCACCTTCTTTTTGGTTTAATTACCTCTGACTATAACTAATCTAGTGGATCTTAAACTTGCTTTACATTTATCTGGCAAATACACTAGTTGGACTAAATGACATTCATTATGAAATACTTCATCTCTTTCTTGTCTCTCAGTCTTCTAGCCTTTTTTCTTTTTTAAAACCAGTTTTGGTTAATGATTGTCATGTTTGGTTCCTTGAATCACTAAACAGCTTCCTCCTACAAAACAGTCTATATGTCAGTGACTTTCAGATTTCTGTTGAGTCATTGATTCTAAGGTACACTGACTGAGTGGCAGCTCCAAACTGGACAACTACACATGATTTCAAATTTTTACTATCTAAAACAATTTGAATGCATTTCTACTACCACAGGAATTGCATCCTGATACCAAACTCTACCTGGGAGATGTGCAAATCCCACAATGACTCAAAGTTCTAAGAACTTTTTTTTGACAGTATCTTTATACAACTCAAAATGAAGCTTGTCATCAAAGCAAAGTTTTGTGCCAGTTGACAGGCAATTAGGGGTGAGCACTGTTTATACAAATTTCAGATTGGACATTTAATTTATGCAATAATCCAAGGGAGAAAGTTGGTCTTGCAAGGCTCTGCATTGACCCACCACTTATTTTTATGCTGTCACTATGACACAGAATAAAAATTATTTTAAGCATATTTTAACATGTGATGTAACTTTAACTAAGTACAATGTTATTGGTAATGATAACTGTTCAGATTGACTTGTTTTTTATAGGCCATTGGTTTTTTTAATTCCGTTGATTATTTTTATCCTTTTTTTTTCATATATTTAAAAAATCATTATTTTATACTTGTATAATTATTTTTAATTTTTGATTCACACTTGTATTTAAAAAAGTCATAACATTTTTTTTTTATGCAGATAGACAATGAGACTGTACCATAAAACCCCCCAAATAACAACAGAAAAGTGAAGATTGGTTATAAACAAAACCCCTAGACTTAAAAAGCCATTGTGATGATATTAGGCATATGTCTTGGATTACTAATGAAATAATAAACAAGATTTTAAACTTGGTGAATGCTCACAAGCCACAAATTCATTTTTCCACTACACCTCAAAATCGATGGTTGTGTTCATGACACAGATAGTTAAAAAAGCCAGAATCACAGCAATCCTATTTCACACACCTATCAAGTTCCCCAATTTACTTTCAGTGAACTTCTGTGCCTTTGATCTGTTTAAGTATAGGATTAAAAGACAACTCAGCACATAGTGGAGGATCTTTGGAAAGTTTGTCAAAATTCATGATCAACAGTTCATTATCATGGCCATCAGATGAAGGAAGGAGGAAATATTTCCAAGAACAGCAAGGGAGCTAAAATATTCTCCTTATAAAGTCCAATAAATTCCAAGTGTTATGTCTTTTAAGCTCTAACATTAAAAAAAGATGTTAGTATTATCACAGCATTTTATGCCCAAATCACTGATTATCAATGAACAAGATTTTCTGAGTTATTATGAGTTATGAAAATAATTGTAGGTTCAAAATTACAGACACTGAACAATGCTCTTATACCATTATAACATTTGTTTCTTCTTTGGTAAATAAATTTTAATATTCAAAGAACAAAATGGTTCATTACGAAAGAACATAATAAAACCTTTGAATGTTAAGTTTACTAGCATGAGTTTTAAACTAAAAATACAAGACAGTTAATTTTAATACGTAGTACCATAGTTCATGAAAATAAAGTAGTAATGTTAAAGAACTTTCTCATAAGAAAACAGAAGCTAAATTAAACAAAAAAAAACTTAATGGCCTAACAGAAAGCAACTAGAAATGAAATTCAATTATAAGTAAAGAACACAATGCCATACTTTGAAGAATGGGAGTTGTATCCCAAACAGAATTTTGCATGTAGTAAGATATGTAAAAAGGAATCAGCTTTGGTGTAAAGCTTCCTAGATCATGCAGTTAATGTTGTATAAGACGATTGTCCAGCTACGTAAATTAATTTCCAATTACATAACCTTGCAGTGAAAAATTTCAATAAAATAATTTGACAAATATTACTTTAGTTTAATTTTATATAATTAGTTTATTAAGTTAAATAATTTGTAGTTAATTTTCCAAACTTTTATTATTTAAAAAGGCCTTCAGAAAGACATCATCATCGAGGAAGAGACAGATCATGGTTTCCTAGTGAGAAAAGGAATCAAGGATAAAGACAAATGAAGTATTTTTTAATAAGCTATGAACAAATGAGAGCAAATTAAACAATACTAACTTATTACTTATGAAATAATGAGGTTCACTTGTTATGAAATAAGGCAGATTTAAAATTACATTGTTAAATGACCTGGACCAAGTAAAGGTGTTTCTGATTAACAGGTAAAATAATGATTACTTTTCTTTGAGGTGAGGGTGTATTACAAGTATCTTAATATCAGCCATTGTATTATGTAAGTATAAAGAACAAACACATAATATACTTTTGTTTGTTTATTGTTAAGCACAAAGCTACACAATGGGTTATCTGTGCTGTGCTCACCATGGGTATTGAAACCCGATATTTAGTATTATAAGCGATCAGACTTGCTGTTGAGTCATTGATAGTCATATTTAAAATACAGTTACAAGAAAAAACTTTTTAATATAAAAAAAAAAAAAAGCATCTTTTAAAATATGTATGTCGGCAAGGATAGATCTAATGGATGTTCGTAAATCATGTGACGTCATAACCACCTTTAAAATATCAGTTTACCTTACACTTTTTTTTTTTAACTACTTATGGTAAAGTAACTTAAACTTCAATTAAAAATTATAAAAAAAAAAGAAACTGCCTTAGTTCAGAGCAATTGAGTATTCAAAAGTATCGTACATTATTGATTTATGAAACTTGTGTATTAATAAGGATTTGTTGACAAGAAGTTTTTCACCTTTGGAGTGGAGAAAAGAAAATGTATATTTTTGAAATATTAGTCTATTTGTTAGGTTTCAAGATGTTTAGCTTGAATAGTCAACAAAGTGAATGAAAAAATATTGAATTACTGTTTTTCTGGTTTGTTTATTTCTAATTTTTTTTATAATGTTTCATTTTTGAAACTGTGTACCATGCAAGATTTTTATGAAATTTAAGATATGTAAAATATATATGTAACAAGTTCTCTGTATTATATTAAAATACAACAAGCTTTTAATGTTGATATATAAGAAACTAACAAAATGAACATTGAAAATTAAACATTAGTTTTTAAAATAATAAAATTCATAGTTGTGTACCTAGGGATCCATCCAGATAAATAGTTCCATAATTTTGAACATTTAGATGTTCTTTCAAAATGTAAAATTTTGTTTTTGATACTCAGTAGTGTTTTTATAATTCTTTCTTCAAGGTTTTAATACAATTGCTCTGAAATATTACTTATTTAAAATTATATTAGTTCTTCAAAGGCTGTGAAAACATGTTATGTTGTCAGTTAATGTATATTGTAATTTTTCTAACATTATGCATTTTGTACATCAAATTTTTGTAAATTTTATATTTTTGTTATGGCATTATTTGTGTAACTCAAAAATCTTACTTAAATTTACTATTCTATATGAGTAGCTTATAGTTAAAACAAGACTAGAATGAGCTTCTAAAATTAAAATTGAATTCCATATAAAAAAAAAAAAAAAATCATTATTTTGGTGTCTGTATAACTTACCATTCAAAGAAAGCATCTATAATTGATTTTTAGTTTTTCTGTTTGATTAAATTTATGTTTCTAGAGGTTGCAGAAACTTTCATGTTATTTAAACACATTGATTTTACATTGAGTATTTGAAAATTATCCAAATTTTGGTTTTGGGTACAAATGCTTTATAATTTAACTCTTAACTCTTTTAAACCCATAATTCTTTGCATGTTCTGCCAAAATTATTTTCATGATGTCCTAATAATTACCACCTACCTTATAAAATTTCTGGTCTATTTATAAAAGATTGATCATAATATGGTTTGGATTAGTTTTTCACAAAGAGACATAAATGTTATCAGACTCCATCACTGGCTGATGGGTAAATTGGGATTTTTGGTTGGATGGTGGCAGCATCCATTCTGGGTTAAAGAAGTTAATATCTTTAAGAAAACAAAGATCCCTGTTGATACCATTATTTGTCATTTTAGTGAGGTGAGAGTTTGACAATGATAGTTCACTGTAAAAAGAAATTAGTGCATTAAGACGTAAATTCTGGTGTTTTTACTAGTTTTCCATGTGACTGATAATTATGTTCTTGCAAGTTCTGTGAAAACTTTTATTATACATGTGAAATCTTCAAACACTTATCACAAAGCTTTCATAAGACTGGTGTCTAATTACTTGGATATTGCCAAAAGTTGTGTCAATTAATGATTTATTAAATGGCTGTCAAAAAAGTCATCAAAATGTATTTGTGCCATTATCTGTTAACAGCCTTTTGCTTAACATTTAGTTGTAGCTTAGTTGAAGATGATATATCTTATAAAGACATTCACACCATTAATAACCATGTACTTCTACTAACTATTAAAAATGTAAGCAAAATTTTTACAGATCTGATACATAAACTGATGACAAGAGAAGGAAGATTTCATTTGTCATAAAATTCGTTTTATATATCCTGCTTTACCAAATAGACAAACTTTGACATAACTTATCAAGTATGTTTGAAAAGGAGCTCGGTATACAACAAAAAATGTACACATCAATTAGTGGATCAGTAATTTTAAATTGCATGAAACATGCTAAAACATCTGAAGTTGAGAGAACAAATTAAAGAAAGGTGGAAAAATCAGTGTGTGTGAATTTATTGCAATGATTCAGATATTGTATATGAGATAAGTTGGTGATATTAAAAACTTGATAACACACCATCTGGAAAAATTAAGAACAACCAAAATGCTGTAGGTGTGTGAACAAACATTCACTTGTTGGAAATGACACATTCATGGTGACTTCACTGCCATGTAGCCACATGGGAAAGGGCACCATCTGTAAAATCTTAGCATGTGTTTTACATGAATGTGAGTATTTTAAAAGGACTACTTTACACAAGCCACATATCACCAAGGACAAATTAAAACTTTTTTATTGTTATTCCATTTTATTGTATGATCTTCTCCAACATAATGGTAGGTAGATTGGTATTACAGAATCTTCTGTATCAGTTGTGCAACCAATAAAAAAAAACTGCCATTAGTTTTATATATTGGATTACAAACATACAACTTTATCTTGCCTTGTATTTATTATTAGTTTTCCATCTCCAAGAAAAGCCAGAAAGTTTTATTCATAACATCACGCTGCACTATTCCTTTAGTATACATTTTGAAAGTTATTTCACAATAACAAGGAAAGAAAAACTATTACAATGTAGTACTATAACAAATGCATATTGTAATGGGGACAACTAATAAATATGCAATTTCTGTTATGATGAAGAAAAAACATTGTTTCTAATAACAAATACATCATTTTTATTTACACATACTTTAAAACTCAACATTAATAAGATAAACTGAAAATAATTTGTAAAAAAATCAGTAAAACTATAAATTATTTAATAAGATAAATTGAAAATAATTAATACAAAAATCTATAAATTATTCATAAGTGTAGTATTCTCAAGTACATTGATTTCTAACAAGTAAGGATAATTAATAATTGCAAAAGGTTTGGCAGAAAAATTACAAAAGTAAACTGAATTCTGAGGAAGGAGACTGGACACATTTCACAGTGAAACAAAAACACTATTTATATATTGGACACAAGACAAGTACTCCCCAAGGTATCTGCATATTAGTTAAACACTAACGTGTGTCATTGCATATAAGGATAAAAAGTTTTATAAATTTTGTTAAACAAATTTTTACCTTTCTAAACTAAAAAAAATGGTACATTTTGCATACCACATAGAGGAGCAGATAAGGGAAACTGATGGAATCACAAGGGATGATAGTGTAAAGGATTGGGAAGTTGTAGGTGACTAGTTAGACATTTAGATAGAGTAGTAGTTGGAGTAAATAGCGTATGCTACCCAGGAACAGGGGTACAGGATATAACTGGTAGAACCAGAGAGATAGTTAAAGGTGCTAGCAGCAATGCAGTTTTTGTAGTACATGTTGGGGTTACTGATGTAAGGAAAGATGGATCTGAAGAACTTGTTGATAAGGGTATTTAAGAAAAGGGGGTCATAGCTTGATTTTGTCGGGGATGAGATACCAAGTGTGTCACTAGGATTGAATGCCAGGCTTAGATCAATACATATGTAGGGATGAGCAAGTAGGCTGGTTGGATTTGTAGGATAATTTCAATGGGAAAGTTAATCTTTTTAGAATGGATGGCTTACACTTAAACAAGGCATGTTAGCAAGGGCTATTAACTCGGCTATAGTGGTAGATTTAAATTAGAGCCAGACAGTGGTGAGGACTATGATATTAGTAAAATAGAAAAAATAATTGACAGGAAAACATGTACAACAAGCATAAACTTATTTTAAAATCTATGATCAATTGTAATGCTATGAATATTTGAAATAAAATGATCAGTGCAAAGCAGTTGTGAAAACTGGCGATTCTGATATTATGGGTATCACTGAGACTTTGTTGGATTTGGACAATTTTGATGAGAGAATTTTTTTTGAAATACCAGGCTACAGAGTATTTACCAGAGATAGAGAATTGAAAAGAGGGGGAGGAGTAGCTTTATGTGACAAGTGAATTACATCCTGTCAAGTTAGAGTATATTAAAGAAAATAGCACTGAGGTTGAGTAAGTTGTTGTTAATGGACATAAAAGAAAAAGTCTTGTAATTAGGATTTATTATAGGCCACCAGGTCAAAATGTAGAAGTTAATAAGATCACAAGATTAGTTTTCCCATCCTGTGCTGCCCTCTATATGCGAACTTTTTTATAACACATGCTGCAAGCCTTCCGCACCCACCCCTTTTATTGGAATCAAAGATTCCAACATGTCTCTCATACAAATATTCATGCGTCATCTCTCCGCCAACAGGACGCATGTAACTCCCTCTATGCGCCACTCCCGAACCATCACTTCGAAGTTTGGCAGAAGATGTAAGCACCGAAAGATTGTGGGGTTGGAAGTGTGAGAAGAGGGAAGACCTATCTGAAATACATTTTCAGTATAGGAAAATTATAACTTCCGATATGGTACACTTCCCTCCTTTCACTAGAATCCCACAATGAAAAGGAGGAGGGGCAGGTGCGAGGGAATAACAGACGTACCCCTGAAAGCGTCCGAAGGATACTTCTGTAGATGAGAGAAATAGATCAGATGATCTAAGAAGGTGGGCACACACTACTTCTGAATCAGGTATCTCCTTGCTAGGAACAAACATGACGGAAAAAAAAGGGAGCACACCGAGTGGGAGAGGATAAGTCAGAAAAGTGTATGTCCCATGGTATAGAAAGCTAGGGCATGGCAGACAGTACTCGGTAAGTCAACTACATCCAAAACCTCGCTCGGTACTGACATCTGCACGAGGGTAGGATGAAGATCATACCCACTTCACCTCAAGCCCCAAAATCGTAGATATGAGGAAAATACCGACTCCAGGGCACGATACAGGATTAGCATTGAGCTATGGATCTGGGAATGTGTCATTTGGTATCTGTGGGAAGTCCATCACATGCAATCAACTCCCGCGACCGTGAGACTGGTCCAAAACGTCCGAAGGCCAATAACATCCCCATTGCAAGAGAGAACCAGGGAGTGTCCAGGACAGAAACGAAAACATCCCATGTATATCCTCCGTGACCCACTACACAGAAGGAAGAGTTGAGGGAGGAAGATGGACAAACCTGTGTCAGGACTTAAGTTTATTGGTTCATTCGATATCCAAAACTAGCCCGCGGGGTATGGACATCTGTGCAAGGGTAGGATGGGGATACCCAATCGAAGGGGGTGAACTGCATTTAGACATTTCACTCCATGGTATGTGTGATTCAAGCCGCAAAATATTACACCTACACTGGCAGAACACCATTGCTCTATACTGAACTGAACGGTTATAGCCATCTATGTGGAACCCATCCAACAGGATGCCTCCATGGTCAACCATCTCAGTGGCTTGCAAGTGGTAAAGACTCCCATACTCCACTGGAAGAAAGGGGAAGAGCATTGAATAGTCCAGAGAAATGACTAAACTGTTTGTTTGTTTGTTTTTGAATTTCGCACAAAGCTTCACGAGGGCTATCTGCACTAGCCATCCCTAATTTAGCAGTGTAAGACTAGTGGGAAGGCAGCTAATCATCACCACCAACTCTTGGGCTACTCTTTTACCAAGAAATAGTGGGATTGACCATCACATTATAATGCCCCCATGGCTGAAAGGGCGAGCATGTTTTGTGGGACAGGGATTCGAACCCGCAGATTGCAAGTCGAGCACCCTAATCATCTGGCTGGACCAGGCTAAACTGGAGACAATGCAATGGGTGATCACAAAACCGATTTATTCAATCGAGGCATGCCAGGAATGAGCTGCTATACCCTTCTACTTTACCCATGCTATCCATGGGTAGTACAGTCCGGGACTGGCCTATTTATGAAGCAAATATAATAAGGTTATTGACCATCCAGTGATCTTGTGAAACACCCCATCTCTAAGGTGAGCATATGGAGCCATGGAAAGAGCAATAGTGTACAGTGCGGATTTGTTTGTGTATGTAAAGAATACTTGGTCAGGCACCACTCACTACAGAGTGGGATCCAAGAGACGAAACTCGAAGCAAGGACCCGTGAAAGAAACGAAAGCATTAATAAAGACTTACCTAGTGTCATAGCCACACTGAAATCCGAATTATAGCCACAGGTGGAAGGGGATACCCCGAGGAAGCAGAAACCATGATGTGCTGTACATAATGGGAGATCAACGTTTGAGGAGTGGTTCACATACCCAACTGCAGAATCTCCTCCAATGACGAAGACAAGAAGCAAGAGAAAAGGAAAGGTGTTGGATTTGATGTGAGGTGTGAAGGAGAAAAAGAGGAATAACCCAGCTGGATTAAACAACGAACCCATTTGGTAATGGTAAAGGGAGAAAGATCCCGAGAGGAAGAGGGTTGCCACATGATAAAAAGACAGGAATGAAAACCCCTGAAGGAAGCCATGTTGGCAATATAACAATGAATGGCATGCACTGGGGATAGAATTCTATTTGGATCAGTACGAGGATAGAGATGAGAAATAAAGGGAAGGGAAATGGACGAAAAAGGAAGAGTTACCCTAGCGAGCTGCCAATGTCTTGGGAAGGAAGGAATGATCTGGATAAAGGAGAAGATAGGTTTGGTGGTACAATGTGTGAGTGATGTCAATTATGAATAGATCTGACCAATGTCACCTGCAGGCCAAAAGGAGGAAAGATGCCTTAAGGGATAGGTGAAACAAAGATCACAAAGCAATGGGCTCAAATGGAGGTAAAGTAAGGGATGGAGTACCACGTTAATGTCCCATTCCAGAAGTACTGGCGCTGGACAGCCGATGTATCCAGAAAGAATGGATCAAAATGGCAAGGACAGGGGAGAGAAAGATGCAGTAATGAGAAAAACGGAAATAATTTAATAAGCCTGCTCGATATAGAGGAGACTGAAGACCACTTCTAAAAAACCATGTAATAAATTTGGAGATACCAACAACCATAGGACGAGAAACTGGGATACCCCGAGCCAGGGCCCAGGTGTGAAAAACATTCCATTTCCACTGATACATGAAGGACGAACAGAATGAGCTAAATGAAATGCCACCCAATTTGAGAAACCAGATCTCATCACCAGGCACCAGACAAAAACCAGGCGTGAAGATGGATGATGTGAATTACAGGATGCATAACTGGTGACTGGGGTTGATGAAGAAGGTTGGGGAATAAAGGAAGAGAAATGGGGGGAAAACTGTAGCTGGAGTAATTGAGGAAACCATGGTTGAGTGGGCCAGTAAGGAGTAATCATAAGGACTTTGCATGGAATGGTATGGATGAGGGAGACTACTCGATGAAGTAATTGGATAGGAAGATAAACAAAAAGGAAATTGTTTGACCAATCCTGGCTGAAGGAAACTATAGCCAAACCCCAATGATGAGGAACCAGGGTAACAAAGGTAACTGGTGATTGAGGGGAGTGGCAAATGCATTGATATGAGGAATACCCCACTGATCACAAAGCCACCAAAAAAGGGGATGAAGGGACTGTTCTGTCAGGTAAACCAGATTGGG